GAATTGAAGTAAATCACCAATTTTGGTGATTTAGATAATGACTAATGATGAAAATATACCAACATAGTGACGTAGTGATTTCAATTTTACTGTCACGGAAAGTGAATTCAAATCTGCCAGATCGACGTATATGAAACCTACAAAGAAATGAAGATATAAAATTAAACATCGCACATTTTCAATAGAGGAGATCGTAACTGAAGACTATTGACAAACCTGAGGGCGAGATGTTATCGATTATATCATATTATTGACCGTTAGTTTCGATACAGAAGTCTTATTTCTACATGATGCATAAAAGGGAATAAAAGGGATTGTAACTGTCTCCACAAAGATTACATGATTTAAGTAGATTATAATCAGCAATCAGACATACATTATCATATGAATATATGTGAAAAAGGCTACTAGTTATTCCTTCTCATGCTTTGTGTAGACTATGAAAAGAGAAATGCTTCAGTGATTCAGTTGATAAAAAAAGATATACAAAATAACGTAGCACTGAAATACGGAATATGTAGAGATAGTGATTTATGTAGTAGCCAGAAACGCTAGGTTTAAAATAATTTCCAAGCAATATTTAAATTAATACTTACCACCAAATTTTTTTTGAGTATTTCCAATTGCCACTTATTTTGAGAATTTTCATACTTATTATCCATTTCAAGCCATGACCTGGTAATAACACAATTTCCCCTTGCGGCATGAAACCTGAATCTATTTTCATACTGAAACATAAAGATTTTTAGACTTTTTTCAATGCATTTTTAAATGATTTTTTATACTAAAGTCCAGATAATATAGCCTCTCGAAATAGAGGGTTATTATTAAAATGGTTATGGTGAATTAGTTGTGTTATTTTTTTTAATCAATTCGCCCCAAGCAAGGCAACAATGCCACTAAGACGCAAGGGGCTACTGGCAGTGAAAGAGAAATTGAAAAGCTTTTAGAAGGAAGTGGGTAAACCCAGTCTTTAACAGGAAAGAAACCTCTACTCCTTGTAGAAAGACTTGGGAAGAGTCT